AACTCCTCCTCCAGGAATGCGCCGCAGATAAGGAAGATAGACTTGGAATCAGCGTTTTATGCCCTCCATCATGGTATACAATTCATCTCAAAGGCCACTCCGACCGACCATCCTTCCCTTGTTAGCAGTGAACTCTCAACATCTCATCTGCATTTCAATAACTAAGTTTTTTCTGTAGCGGCATTGAAGCGTTTAACTTTCTCCAGCTTCATACTTGAATATTCACTTCCGCGTGATGAGTAAAAAAGACGTTCAAATAGGCTGTAAATCATCTCATTACTCATCGGAACTCAATGCTATTGATGAATTGTCATGTGAGTGATGGAGTTCGTTGGCTGCCATATAGGTCGGCGTAGATAATGAAATAGATGACACCTCAATGTCATATTTTTCATCACCTTTTTCTAGTGCTTTCCATGGGAAGTGTATTTTCATCAGCTTAAGTGCAAAGGCTGCAAACGTCCACTTTTGATGAGATTTTGCATAAAACTTTATTGACAGCGTTGTCATCACAATGATTTCTCTTGGGTAAAATGACAGGATTTTTTGTACATTTTCAACATATGCTACTTGATACAGCAAATTGAAAGCAGTGCGCCACCACTAACGTGGGAATCAAATTACATTCTTTGAAATTTATTTCACTTAAATCATTGTTCGTCTCTACCCTTCTCAAACTCGTGTGCAATATTTGCTCATGCCATAAGAAAAAGATGCAACGGTCTAAACCTTTATGGAGATATCCGCTGTTATTCATAAGTTTTCTTCCCACCACTCCGGAAAAATTTGAACTTAGACAAGAATTATAACACAACCATGTCTCATGCAAAGACAATCTGTTACTTCTGCCCATATAGCTTTACCCTATAGCTTCAAGGCAGATTTTGGAAACCTTTTGGTCGACATTGCGCATTAATGGCTTTGACGGCGATTCTCACAGTAGGATAGTATTCTTGCATTGTCTACAACATGTTGATAGTAAGCACAATGTGCCCCTGTGGCCTTAGTTCAGTGTAATTCTCAAGCAGGCTGTAAACTCCAACCTTTTTGAAAATTGAAAATAACTCTGTGATAAAATTTTTTAGCGTCTTCTATCATGCTACACTAAAACTTTAGAGTTTCAGGTGCATTACATTTTTCCAGGAAAAATTTGGGATTACGTTGAGGTTGCACATGCTTTCAATTGGAAAAAAATCTCCTCCCCGAGATTTCTCGTACAACCACCGGTACCAACTCAATAAATTAGTACTTGAAGATCCAAGATTTTTCAATTCTACTTCGCGGATCAGCTGATATCGAGCTCAGGATCCTGGGTTGGCCATGAGAATCAGCATCTCCCCAAATCATCGATTGTCTCTCAAATGAAATGATTCGTTGAGCGTTACGACGCAGACTCATTGCTTTCAAAAATTCATCCACACAAATACGAAATAAGCAATTCTACCGAGTCCTAAATATAACCGAGCAACTGATAGAGGAGGAAATTTGACGCATGTTCGACACTAGCAGTTTTGACTGAGTATCGAAAAACGTGGTTGTGTGGAAACCATCTAAAGATGGGCAAGGGTAAATGATAATTGATCATCAAAAATTTAGCATTTGTAGTCTCAGCCATAGTAAATCAAATTCAATACATCCAAAAAAACCTGCTTCCAACATAAAACCATGAATTATTCGCCAAAAAAGCAGTTGTAAAGAAACGTATGTACTTTTATTCTATGTATATGCAACATCAAATATAATAAAACAGAGGAATTTTTCAGCTCGGATATATAATTCATTTTCAAACCGGCTCTCGATTTTAAAATTTTGTCGCGTATTTTAAAGCCAGCTCTCGCAATCTTGATTATTGCATATTAAGGCTCTACTTAATCCGCTCAAATTCTGAGAGTCAAAAATTAAACACTTCTTTCCATTTCTTGCAAGTCCATCAATTTTCTGTGAAAATGAATGGATGAGCTTTGCAAATAAGTTTTCCTCATGCAAGTGCCACTTTCTTTGGCATCCGTGCAAGTCTATTTAATTGCTGCAATTTCAGCGGGAAATTTCAATAATTTTGTTGAAAAAAGTTGTGCATTCAAAAGCTTGGGATTATAGACATCTTTTCATTCTTGCTTAGTTAAAAATCTAGGACTTCCAAGTTTTACGGATTGATTGAACCCCCTAGATATGTCTTACTTGAAGCTATTCTGCTTTGACAAAATGGTTTCGATTTCATTTCACAGGATGTGCAACTTTAGATTTTTCTTTCTCATTCCTTATTTGCAGACCGCATCCCTATTCCGTGCTTGACAAGCAGCATTTTCGCATCTATAAGGCGAAAAAGTGGTGGCATTGCCTGTCATGCATTTCGTAGCGATAGAACCCGCTACTCGTCTTTGTTGATGAGCACCGTAATTGTTCCTATTTTTTAGTTCCCTTTAAAGTTCGGGCATTATCACAAGCGAAGAACGTACTACTATTTCAAATTTACCAGCTTATCCATACAACTTGTGTTCAACATTTACGATCTTTGTAGAAAAGTCAGAAGTGCAAAGCTGAGATTTTCAGCTCTTCTTAAAATGTGAATTGCTTATAAGCGTTTACCTGTGATCTCTTCTTTAAATCAAAGCTGTTGCATAATTTGTCCCACTAAATACTAGGCTGATACGGAAAGTCTGTCTCACCATTTTCAAAGATTTATAACTTTAGATTTTTCCTTTTACTTTTGTTCGAATGGTGCTCTTCATAACAGTATCTTAGCTTCTGATGAGCACACACTGCATAGGTGCGTAGACGAAAATTTGTTGAACTTTGATTTTCCTCTTTCCTCGAGAAAAATCTGAAACTTGCAAAGAAATCGTATCAGTCGATATCAAAGTCTGTTCCTTACCTGGTCTTCAAGTGAGCCAAGTTTATGTTGATTAAACGCCTCGATAAAAAGCTATGACTTTTGAGCGGACCGTACAAAACACCAAGTATGATTTTTTGGCTTTTTTTCGAAAATCGTGACATTTCATAGATACGTTCAATCCGCACAAACTTCGCTCATTTAGGAAGGGCAGACAACAAAACCTACGATTCCGACTGCTTGCGAATTTTATCGCAAGTCTCAGATTTTTTACGACCAAACACAGGAAAATCAGAATTTGGGTAATTTGCTTGCTAGAAAGAGCGGGTACTAGAACCTGTGGCACCGACTGCTCGAATGTTTTATCGCAAAATTTAGATTTTCTAAGACCAAAGTCAAGAAACCCGAGTTTTGAGTAACTGTCCCTCTACAGCAACTATCTGCACAATCTGTGCATAGAAAGTCGCTGCATTCGTTAAGAAAAACACGATTTTTTCTTTTGAGTTCGAGATGAACAATTATTGTCGAAAATTAGAAAGTTACGAATTTTTAAAGGTTGTGTGGCAGAGCTTTTGTATCAAGCTAAGATATTAAGGTTACACAAAAGCTCTTGCTTTGGGCAATCCCCTTAGACTAAGTGGACTAACAATGAGCACTTTTTATGATATCCGATGCAGCTTTTTTTCTTCTTTCCAATAGTCAAGTTTCGAAAGTGAGCTCCTCTTACTACGCAATAATCGCAAACCTTTAGCAATAAAAATTCCTTTGCGATTCTCCAATAACTTTCATGTGGACCGATGTACTCTTTTTGAATGTTGATAGTGTTTTCGGACTAGCTTCTATTTCACTTTTATGTTTGTTGCTAAACATGCAATAAAAGCTTTACATAATGTGTAACACGATAGGCACTCTCGCATACATGTAAAACAAGCTCAACTGTAAAAAAAAATTCCTGAAAAACTTCACTTCAAAACGCATGCTCCGAAGCCAGAAAGGGGAAAGAATTTGTGTTTCGTTTGAAATGCCAAGGACCTTTTGAGGCTATCATTACATCTAGCTATTGACCTCGTGTGCGTAAACGCGTTCTTCGTTAAGATCTTAGTGAGTTTATTTAGTTACTTGATGAAATTCTAGGCCTGCATATAACTGATAGGACCTCATGCGTTATGGAATTTCCCATGGTTTCTAGAAGTTCAAAGACAATTCTTTAACAGATCTTCAGAAGTACATGTGAGATGGGCAAATTGCCATAGTTTCTATGATTGAGATTGAGCACAATCGAAAGTCTAAGAATGTTACCAAAATATTGCTCAGCTTTTTTCTATGCCACCACAGGTTTTCATAGCAGCACTTCATTGTGCCTTATGCTTCGTTTCTACCGTGACATAGAAAAAGCTGACTTTGAGCAGCATTCTCTATCACTAGGCCAATGTTCTAAGAGAGTAGAACTTATGGAGTTACCAGTATTGACCGTATAACCGTTTTCTTGCAATGTTTCAGTCCTCAGGGAGTTTTTCTGGACATAATTTATACGGTTAACAGTTGCATAAGCGTTGTTACCAGAACACTGTGGAGCCAAGAGCCGTTCGCTTCCAATGTTTCAACTCACGTATATTGTAATAGAAATGAAATTTGAGACACCTTACAATTAGCCTTAAGGTGAGGTGCACAATGCCCACAAAATAATACCAGATCCTCTAGTATCTTGTGATAGAGCTAAAATTGGAAATCATCTTACAATCAGCTATGTGAAGTTGGTTATCAATAGTGCACAAAATAGATGAAGATTTCTGTCGCCATTTGTTTTGATTAGGAAACATTTTTCGCCCTAACATAATTTTTATTGACAGTAAGTTATTTGAATTAGAATGTGTGCACTGCTCTCTACTGCGGAAAAACCCGTCAATCACAAACAAATAAATAGAGATAGGTCGTTAGATCGAATACGGTATCGAATGTTTCAAAAAAAACAGTTGAGGAAACTGCAAAGCATATAGCAGCATCAAAAGCTCAGTACTTTTGCAGAGAACTTTTGCTATGCTCCTTTCAGTGCGGATAACAGAACAAGTCATTTTCAGACAATTTCTGCAAACTTTACATGTGTTGATGATAGCAAACAGCATAAATCCATTCACGAACATGAATTTCAGACTTCGCTGAACCGGAAAAAATGGCAATAAAAGGCACCGGTTTGGCAGCAATTATTGCCGGACAAAGCACGATGACTGCACAACCCAGAGTACCTCACCGTAATAGCAACATCTACGACAGGATCAAAGCGGTAAGCCGAGACATGTTCTCATAGAATTCCTAATTTGTTCGCGTTTTTGAATAATATTTCGAGGGATTTCGCGCATCAGGACTTCATATTGGATTGGTGGTTGCTTGCATGATCTATATCTACTTGGGAGCTATAGTATTCAAGCATATGGAGTATCCACATGAGGTATACTTATGTCTGCAACAAAGATTAGAGGAAGATCTTTCAGAGGTTTCTGGGTAAATTCATTATTGGTCTGGTTCATAAGTCTTCCATTTTTTGTTTGTATGATTCAATGTAGTTTGAAGGATGCACTTAACGTACTCCAATTACAAGAATCGTTTTGGCCCATGAGTACGAGCTAATGGATATAAAAACACATCATATGTCTTTATTTTTCACTTCTTTCCAAATTTTATCTAAAAGTGCCAAAAGCTAAAAAAAGGTGTTTTACTATCCTCTTGAACCTGAATTTACTTGTTCTCTTCACGAAGCAGAATTCGTGCAGATTGGATAAATTTACGAATAGTTACCATAAGTTAGTTGATCGATATTACGATTTTGTTCGTTATAAAGTCTCTAATGTGCATATAAGATACACAGTGCTGGACATAATTATAAAGCCACTCTAGAAATCGTCGTAATTTGCGTTCTTGTCAATGAATCTGTCTGAAGCTTTGCTATATTGTGCGCATGTCAACCTGCCATGACCCCTTAGAACGGCTTTCAGTTTTGTTGGGTTTGAACGGAGAAAAATAGAAAAATTCGAAAAACCCCTTGATAAAAGCTGGACAAAATTATAAAGCTGATTTTCTAATCACTATCGCATTCGCTGGCTTTCAAATTCTCAATTCTTTGATTACATCCCTAAAATATGAAACATTTCCAACACCTACGGTCTGTCATCCTGCTCAAATAGAAGCGATCACGCATTTTTGCTTTCAAAAGCATCAAAAGTCATTCTGCTTTAACAAGAAGCTGGTTTGAGGAGTTTTCAAGCCCTTGTTTATATCAAATGATAGTCATAAAATCTATTAAGCATTGATAGATGAGGTAAGGAGTCCATAAACTCTGCGTAATATCCGCTGATATTGGCGGACAGACTCCAATCTCACCTTAAGGTTGACGCACTTTTGCACCACAAAACTCTATTTTTAAGCAACAGAAAATATGCAGTGTAGGCCATTACGACAGCCATACAACAGTAAACTTGTGTGCATAATCAGGAAAAAATTTCGGGATTGAGCACTCTGATTCAGCCGCAGTTGACATCCACTGAATGTTGAGTGAAGCACCCTGTACAATCAAAGCCAACTCAAATCACGAGATAAAACAGGACACGCTTAAACCTTCAAAATCTTAACCTAATCTCATTCATCTGGTGAAATATGAGATGAAACACAGAGAAAAATAAGGAGATCTAGGGTTATATCAAATCTTCTGCTTGCAGGAAATTTTTGTGGAAAGTTTTTCAGATCTAAATCGCAACTGCATCACTAGGAAAAATCAGAGGTTGTTAAATAAGCTGCGTCGCCATGTAGGCAATGTGATAAATCAAATCCAGCACTTTATAAAAATTGCAAAAAGGCTTTTGTGAGGTAAAAGCGTGACAACCCTATGGTGAGGGTTGGAGTCTGTCCGCCAATATCAGCGATTACGCAGAGTTTATGGGAGCGCTCCTCACCTCATCAAGCGCTGCTCACCTCCTCAAGTTTCAGACAGATTCATTGCCAAGAACGGAAATTACGACGATTGCAAGAGTGGCTTTATAATTATGTCCAGCACTTGTCACAATAGAAATACGGTAAAAGAGAAGAATTGCTGAATATTTTTTAAAGAAGCGTATTCTTGGAGCAGGACAAGTGAGCCACGACAAATTCTTATACTAGACCTTGCTCCAAATCTCTGTCACTTTCTAGTTCAAAACTCACTTTTCTTTGGGTTTGTTCCAATAAATCTTATCGTTTGAATACTCCTAATGAGCAAACCAGCTGGAACTACTGAGCTTTTAGTACAACAGTGATGTGATGGCATTCCATTTTGTTTTTGTTCGCAATTGCGCTGCTATACAAAATTCATTGTTCTCTAAATAATTTACATGCATGCACTGTTTGATGCAACGAAGTGCATCAATTTTTTAGATGGAAATTCGCGAAGAGACATCATCACAATTTGAAGAGCTACAACGACGTTTTTTGAGAGAAGTCGAGGATGTCAAAGATTTGATAGACGGTCTGTTTAGTTTGTTACAAGGTATTCATGGGTGCAAGAGTTAGAGTTTGAGCTCTCAACAGGATACGATCGCTCAGAAAATTCCTAATTTCGAATTCTCTAGTTTCGAAACTACCTTTCTCGAAAAATGTCAGAATTCTGCCTCTTTTTTTTTGAAGCGGCGCTTAATGAATGTGGTGCAAACGGCCAGTTCCCTGCTTGAATGAAGGCACTTGATTGACCTTAGCCAGTATCGGATTGGTTTACAAGCCGCTCGTGCCACGCCCACTACTGTTCGTAATTACAACCATAAAGCAATTTGGCCTTAGAAGCTGTAAATGTAGTTACAAAGCGCATGAAAAGATGTGAAGATGGTAGAAAACTGAATGTCGAAAACCTATAAGTTACTGCCATTAAGCGACGAAAGTTCGGATATAACCTCGACGAGGATTTTTACTGCATTTCCCATCAAATTTATAGCCTCAGCCCTTAAGAAAGTCAATTATATCTTTTCAATAAGTGCGCCCATGGTTGGCTTACCACCTCTAAGCCCAAAATCGCTTTTTGGCAATATTTCCGCCATTAAGGTGGCGTGAAATCTTAGTGACATTGAACCAACGGCAGCTATGAGCAAATATGGTTAAAGCTGAACTAAAAGAGTTTATGAAGACAAAAATCCTTTTTTGGCGACATCTCAAAACTTTTTGGTGGTTTAAGAGCGATAAGATTGGCTACCTCCTTATGACATCCGAAAAAATATTGTGGTAATTGCTGAAAGGCACGATGTGGCAATTACCGCAGTTTTTCGATGTTCAGTTCAAAAATTCAAGCTGTTTTGGAGTATTACTTGGAGAGTTTATTTTATAATATGCATAATTGCTCAAATATGCTTATGAAAATCAGACTGGAAAGCGTTTGAAGTAACTTTTTGTAACTGATATTTACCTATTAGCATTGACTGCTGGAGAGTCAAGCAATGGTAGCCAAATATTTGTTGAGATAGTTTTGAAAAGAAAATGGTTGTTCAATTTTCCCCTCAAGAAATGGGCCATTAGCAAAAGATATGTATTGGTAATGGAACGAGCGAATGTAAACTTGAGTCAGGCTCAGACTTCACGTAAGTGACTAAAAGTTTTTACTGTTCAAAAATGACGCGCCTTGGGCCATAAATGGAAAGCAACGAAAATTGACGATCAAAATCAGATACAAAGATGGTGTGCAAAAGAGGGTTAAATCTTTTTTGTTCAGTTGATGATGAACAATTCAACATCACAGTGGATGCCCTTATAGACAAATATGTAGAAGATCTCTTCAAGTCATTCGAGAATCCAGTCAGTCTATTTTTTATCCACTCAAAATTACATTTTCTGCTTTTAATAACACCTTGGTCCCGCCAGATAGCTAAAAACTATTTTGACTCCATGTTCTACAATGAGGGCGATTACACAAACTTATGGACAATGGATTCATCGGTGCTATTCACTGCTACGACCATGGTCCCAGTAGGTATGGACGTCCAATAAAAGTATCCCTGTGGGTCAGAAACGAAGCCTCTCTTGCCTCTCCATTTTAGGATTTGGGCTAATCACTCCTTTAACCTGGGCAGGACGGATTTTTCTGATTGTCTATGCTATTGTTGGTCTACCGCTGGCGCTTGTTACTATTTCAGACATTGGCAAGTTTTTCTGCGATGTTATATTCAAGCTTTTTCGCGAGGTAAGGACTTCAGTCAAATTATTTACCTTATTTGATTATTTTACTTGCTTTGCACTTGTATCAGAGTACCACATCATTCATGGTCGTACTGCTGTTACTACTGGTACTCTATCCGGTTATTGGTGGTCTTTGCATTCACAACGTCTCAAAGCTATCGTTATTTGATAGCGTCTATTACTGCTGCATAACAATTTTGACAGTTGGTTTTGGAGACATCGAGTAGGTTCTGCTCTCGAAAAAAGGCAAAGAACTTAAAGAGCAGAATTATCTTCCTTGTTTTGGGCGTCTATACTTCGACTACCTGAATTAGTTATACGAGTGCCAATATAAGAATTAACTTGATTATAACTTACTTGTCTTACTCACGTGTTATTGGCAGAAAGATCTGACTCTAACTTAAAGAATTAAATTTTTCTGCCATGAAGTGGGCTCTTGGGTATTAGTTTAATTTAGGCCTCCAATTTTTTCCACAAAAGGTTACAAAAATCTCGAATAAGATAAGATCTTTTTAAACTTGCAAGAAAGAAAAGCATTAGATTGTCCCAAGTCTTTTCATATTTGACTTTTCACCGTAATAAGTTGGTTCTTCTTATATTTCCAAGAGAATCCGTTGTACCATTCTACAGAACATTCAAAAGTTTGCACAAGCTTGATATGCATAAACTTCCAGGTTAAAAAATAAAAAGTCCCGAATTTCCAAAAACGAAAAAAAAATCTGAGTATATCAGTTCAAACAATTTATTTGAGTCCCCTCGCATGCATGTATTACTTTACCCATCAGATGATCGTACCTAGAGTTGCTGGATTTTTTTGATGGCCAGAAATTAAGAAATTGAAGGACCTAGATTAGCAACTTCGCCTCCGGTGGTCCTGGGGTAATCCTAGATACGCGTTTGTAACGCTATATCACTCAGAACCACTGCTAAAAATTCACATCCTTGTGAGTGCCCTAGTTCTTGAAAATCAGTACTAAGGTTCAAATACGAACACTTATGGAACAACCTCATAAGCAAACTATAGGCCTTGAATTGGAAAGTAAAGTCGTCTCAAAGCCATAGCCAGCTTAATAGGATGCTTGAAAAAAGAAGTTGCATACTTTTCTTTGTCTACTACAACCTATCAAACAATGAAAAAGCCTTTACATCATAGCATTATTACAAGCTGACATGAAATCTCAATAATTCGATTCTATAATTTTTTAGCTCAAGGTTGCTATTTTAGTCCGCCGATATCAGTTCCATATCTGATACTGTTTATTGTAGTGGGAGTTACACTTGTTACAATATCAGGTAGGTCCACTACTTTGTCTTGGAGATTGCATATGTAAACATTTTACAATCATTCAAAAATGTGATAGAGTAGTTTTCGCTTGTTTAAGATGCATTTCTGTCTTCGAACATGTGTTGCATAGAATTTGTAGTACCATTAACAAAATTGTGAAAATATTTCATGCATCGCATCTAATACTGTCAAACCCATTGCAATAATTCCATTTTGTATAAGTGACAAAAAACGCAATGTGATTGATTACACTATCGCGCTGGCTACGGCGCAAAGCTGTTTTTGCTCAGCTTCCATGTTCTCTGCATAGGACAAAAGTGGGAAAAGTGCCATATATTAGGTCGATCCGAAAGTTCTTTCCGTTTTTTCAACCTAACATGAAAACACGTGGAACGAAGACAGGGAAACGCATTGATGCCACTCGACGCAGCTTTCCTTTCTCTTTTTAACTCTCATGCTCCTATGCTGGTCGCTCTCATGGTCACTGAGATAATCGTCGAAATTTCGGACCCATGATTTTTACCACGTACAACTTTGGCAATTTTCAATTTTGTTTTTGACTTTTGGAAAAGCTTCGATAGTACTCAAATAGAGTAAACAAAGTGCAATGCGATGCTATTTTTTGGCAACTTTAACTTGCTTCTCAGTGTTATTTATGATAGCTTTTCCAGAAGTCCTCACTTTTTCAAACTCACAAAGTACGCAAACGCTCCTCTGAACAGCAACAACATTTTGAAACTTTCAAAAGTCGATTACGATTATCCACTATTTTTACAAAGTAACTAAGCGTTTACCGCTTCGAAATATAAGATTTTGCAATCCATGGGCTTACCCTTATTCGGGCTCAAAATCAAGAATTATGGAAATTCTATCGCCAAAAACCCCACAAATTGGGGGAAAAACACTCATCAGGAAGGGGAGAAAAAGTTCCATTGAATGACACCTTAGTTGCGCGCCGTTCTATGTTTTATGGCTCGAATTTGATAGCATCAAAAAAATAATTCTAAAAATTTTTTAAGGCCAGCTATAGACGCCGAAAAATTGCAATACATTGCACCTTGTTTACTCTATCTGTATGCTTTCAAAGCTTCTCCAAAAGTCAAGAAAGAAGTTTGTGAAAAATTGCCAAAATTGGACATCATGGTAAAAACTATGGGTTCGAGATTTCGGCCATTGGCCCGTAGTAAAGCTCGGTCACGGGAGATGATCTCCCCTGAGGCCCTCATATGAGGCTTTATCGGGTGAGATGAGGACTGCCCAGTTTCGGTGGTGTAAATATGCAAGGTCACCCTACAGGTGAGCTTCAGATGAAGCCCGGCAGGGAGATCACCTCCCTACCGGAGTCATCGGAGATGAGCCGGGCGACGACATAAGGTAAATACTGTGCTAAAGAGGAGAGCACAGAGAAAATCCCCGTAAGTTGCTCCCGAGTAACTTATGAAACATCGCAGATGAAGTTCTTTTGCGGTGTAAAACTCCCAAAATTGCACAACTTCGGGGGCCTAAGTGAGTGAGGATCGATGAACAACTGATTGCGCGACGAAATCGGAAAAAAGTGTTTTTTGCATTTTCTTGCAATTGTTGCTTGTTTTTTTCAAAGAACCGCTTCAAATAACAAGAATGTGAATTTACGTTTCTATTTATTTTTGCTAAGTGTATTTTCTCCTCGTATGTATGCCAAAATAGTGTGTATTTGTTTTATCTTGTTGTTTGCTAGGTGAAATCTCTGATAGCGGCTATCATCGATTTTTCAATAGCGGCCGCTATCCAAGGTCGCCGGGCCAAGCAGCAAAAATGGTGCCGCTAGCCGCACTCGGACCACGGCCCCGCCGCTTGCACATTAGTCTTATCCATTTGACTAATAATGCACAAATGGCAGAAAAAGTCCACCTTTGAAAACACGAATGTCCAGTAAGTGACCTACTCCAAATCAATCGCTCCCCTGGCAATGTGCTGAGGGCGATGAGATCAGCTCCGGTCCGCCTTAAGAGAGATGCCCTGATAAAGCTCGTCGAATAGTGCCTGAATCTTTTCCCTACCTCCATTCCACGTGTTTTTATGATAGGTTGAAAAAACGGAAAGAACTTGCGGAACGACCCAATATTTTACTCGCACAAAAAAGTGGCTCGATTTATTACTTTATCCTCCCACATAAAGCTCGCTTTTTAGTGGACGTGATCGCAGCAGAGGTTATCCATCAAATACACTATATGGGAAGACAAATGGGAAAGGCGAAGGTGATAGCCGACAAAATGATGCAGGTACCTTGAATTGGTGAAGGAAAGTGCTTTCTGTTCTCAGATAGAAAATCTGCGCTACATTGCTATAACGCGAAGATAAATGCTTTTAGAGGAAAGTTATTACAGATGGCGCAGAAAATCAGCATCCAAAAGGGACTTGGTTTGGGAATGGCACAGCTGGGCGCGTTTGCTAGGATGGGAATGATGATAAACGTGAGCTTCGATGTGTAAAGGGGAAAGTTTTAGCGGTCAATTCACAATTTCCACTATAACTTGTAGCTGACCTCCAATGGTGGTACAGTCCGTGAAACGAATGGAAATGAGCGTGAGGAAGGAATAAAGCGCATGAGCACCGCATACGACCCTGATATAGAGTTCGACCTCATAGATAAATTAGGTTTGCATGCATATTTCTCTTTGTTTGTTACTTTCACAATTGTCTTCTTGCAGGCCCCTCTGCGAGTTTGTATCACTTTGATTACGACGATGACGAGAACGAAAATTTCTATGCGTGAAGAAATTTTGAGACGACAGTGCTGAATTGTTGCATCGAAAGAACTTTGGATTTCATTATTTGGTTCACATTGAACATTTTCGCTAAAGAAATTTACCGCTTCCCGCCACTGAAGCCTTATCAACAAAATACGTGCTATTGTTGTGCAAATCAGGAGACTAATCCATTACTGTGAGCTAAGTTTCATTCTTTCAGCGCAAAATTACAGTGCTCCCTTGAATATCGAAAAAAGTGTGAAAGTCTTCTAGCTATCATGTGCTGCGAACTTAGCAAATTATTCTAATACACATATGGTCGAACCCAAAACAAACGAAGCAATCATGAAATTTGGCACGGTTGTTAGCATATCTCCTTGCTCGAATGTGCAGATCGTTTTCCTTCTCTTAAAAGTAGATGCTTCTCTAACCAAAGGTATTTTTCCGTTACCCAAACCCACTTTGTAAAAGAATATTGTTTCTATCCTTGCACCGAATTAGGTCACAACTTCAGGGAGGAATGTCAACCCCCTGCCACGCGTATAACAAATTTGACATATCATTCAAATTTTTAACAGGTTTTACCAAGAGTTTGTATAGCCTACCTACTAGTGTAACACTAATCTGTTTTTTAACACATTGACAACCGCTCAGACTTGACACACCATGACCCCCATTGAAATGGCTACTAATTACAACCTCTACTGTTTTTGCCAGCATTCCAACGCTACTGTAGATGTACTGTAAATGGAATTGTGCGTGATTTTATCTAAAAAATGTTGGCTGGTCCGAGAAAGGCTTTGGTCGTCAACGTGTTAATCAACAATGACATCATTTTTACCCAGCATTTCAAAGAATGAACAGTAGCGTTATAGAAGCAACGTGTTTTCAATAAAAACACCAGATTTGCCCAAAACAAAAAAGTGAGCTATTTTTCCTGTTGTGTTCGTAAACAGCTTTAAAAGATTTTATCTACCTTGCAGCGACAAAGAAATTAAACTTCACTCTCAAACCGGCTGCCAATATGGCCTACTTATTTAGATAAACAGATCATAATGCAGAATATCAGATCATTATATCTACTCTAGGGTAGTCACAACACCTCCTCAGTAGGGTGATTACGATTCAGACTAGCCTACTTCGTTGAATAAGTTCATTATACGTTCACAGTCCGATCACATAAGCTGGACATTGTAGTGGTCTTCTGAACTTGATTCATTCTGTGACCATAGGCTGCGCAGATGAATTATTCTTCGACAGAGGTGAATTCAATGCGTGTGGCAAGTGCGGAAGAGTCTCTTCGGTCACATATTTTCGACCAAGCTTTCATTTCTTTGTAGACTTTCACCTTCTGTCAAGACATTTAACAATCTCTTCAAGGCTTTCGATTATTCTGAATATTCTTCTTCTTTGCTTCAATGCCGAAGTTAGTTAGCGTGCTTCTTGTATAACGTTTCGCCAATCTTCACTTCGCAGTTATCTCGTCCAATACGTTTTACTACGGTGCCTGTGATCCAATGAAAATGAGGTGGCTCCCACTGCTCTGCGTACACCAAATCACCAACTTCTCTTTCGGATCTACTCCATGTTTTCGATCAAATAGGTCTTTCATGAGCATCTATTTCCTAGCAAGCGGTTCCTCTCCTGCTTCTAATTGTGGTAAGGAACTAACTGGCTCGTGCGTAATGTAACAAGACATTCGGAGCTTCTTCAACCGTCGGCCTCTCCTAGACCTCAAGCTTCTTGATTCCGCGTTTTAGAATATCAGCGAAGCTTCTTGCTTGTCTATTTGACTAAGGACGATAAGAAGCAGTCTTTATGTGCAAAATTTTTTCTTCGTCACACATGCTCTTGGGCAATTCTGACATAAGCTGAGATCCATTGTCAGTCACGAAAGTTTGGGTAGTACATATTTAGCAAACATTCTTTTCAAAACCCTCATAGTCTTTGTCGCACATGGATGGAAACTTCCACTGACTTGCATGTCTGCTTTCTCCTCAGTTCATAACTCCAGACCATCTTTGCATACTTCTGTAAAAGCACTTTTTAACTGTCGAATATTGTTGTGCCGAAAAGGTTGTTTGGTGGTCCTTTTATTGTCAACACTCTTCGGCCTTACGTTCCGACGCTTTCGCAAAAGAGGCCTGGAATGGTTCAAAGCTTCATACGTAAATCCAGCCCATCGAACGTCTCCAACAGCCATTGCCAGTTCTCGGCTCTCCCCCACTCCAGTGCTACAAAAACTGTGATGACAAAAGACATACCAGGGAACCACCGAAGCCGTTACGGATGAAGCTTTGAACCACTCCAGGCCTCTGATGAAGATGAAAGCGTCGAAACGTAAGGCCGAAGAGAATTGACAAGAAAGGACCACCTAACAACCTGTTCGGCACAACAATATTCGACGCTTCATTTTTTAACTTTTATGAGATGACATCATTTAGCGGGCCTCCACAATTGCAACCATCCTTCCCAAATAATGGGTATCTTTCTGATTCTTCCGCATTCAGCATTACCTAACAAAGAATTGTGAGGAGTAACATACGCATAGCCTTCGCTCTTGAATTCTTTCAGCTCACTGTTGCATTACAGCTTGCCATAAACCTTTATGAATTTCTGACGTCCCTGACAAAGACATTCGCTATTCCAAACTGAGTCGTTGCAGCGTGATATCTGATCCTGTATCAAACAAAAATTTTACTGACTGACCATTTACTCTCCCTTCCAAATAGAATCTTAGAAATTTGACGTCCATCATGGCATTTGCAATCCTCACTACATTGCGGACATGTGGGTGAGTTAAAAATCTGTTTTCTCAGTTCTTCGCTTCCTTCTGATGCTATCACCATTTCGAAAATTTTTTTGGATTAGTACTTATTCGGTCGAGTGGTTTTCTTTTGATAAAACTACTCTTGCACTTCTTGCAATACCATAGCTTTGCCATGCAGTCCTCAAACAAGTGCTGCCCAAAGCAGCTCCAGCATCTAATTTCTTGCGTTCTTCACTGACCTATAATTTTGTTATCTTTCTTCAAACTAAGAAATTTTTCGCATGCTGAGTAGAGCTCTTGTAGGATCATCTTGCGTTAGGCTGTATTACTTGCCCAGCACTGCATAAGTATTTGCCTTATTTCAGCTTCCTTTAGACTCTTCAGCCCGAAAACAATAGTAGACCTTTGACTTCATCGCTATCCAGTTCACAGATCTACGCTTTCTCGCAGAATTTGTCAACTCTTCCAGTGCACGGGCATTACTCTTCGGCTTACTCTTCTCAGGATTTAGACACAATGTAAACGGTAACGTCGTCGTATTGAATCTGCTTAATGATTAGAACTTTTCCTTCAAATCTTATCACGTTTTGTTGCCGCTCGGTGTGCTTAGCTCCCCTCGCCTTAGTGCTCGTCCTCCTAACAACGCATTTCCCAAATCCTAAATGGTATGCTTCCGCACTAGTGTGCACTTGTTAGCGGGTCCGCTCGACGTCTACACTCCGAATCCTCACAACACGAACGATCACAAACACGACTGGATTAAACTGCATTTTTTACAGCACAAACAATAAATTTAAACTACTAAAGACCACTAATTACTACTTTGAAAGACGGGTTCTCCATAGGGTCAACCGCACGCCCTTACTCAGATATTCGGCAGGAGGCCGCCATGCGATTTATGGGCAAGCGGGTACCGGATAAATAGTTCGCTGATTTCTTGCGGACCGCTTGCAGATATATAGAAGAATGTTGGCAGTTTTTGGACGAATGATCGGAGAACAATTGCAGCTTTTTCACAGATTAGTTGCGGCGCAGTGGCCGCATTCTTGTGGACACTTCGTGAGAATATGCAAAATTATTAAGGGCCGCACGGTCCTTCGTGAAAGACCGCACAGCCCGTAGGTACCTTTCGCTGAGAGAAGGTACCCCAAACTCGGGTAAATAAACCATCGATGGCACCTGTTATGTAGAGTATTACCGTTGCTCAGCAGGCGCCCGAAACTGCGTAACAAGAGTCAAAGCGCTTGCTGAAAGAAATTACTTGACGAGCGCCTGCAGAAAATATTGTGTCTTTGCCCGCTAACAGAACCGGAAGTACCGCTTGCTGATGTTTCGGCCATGCCCCAAAATTTGGCTGACCGCTGGCGGAAAAGCGCGAGTCCGCGGACCGCCTGCCTTCGGCAATTATCTGAGTAGTCCTTATGGAACGGCGAGACCCTCTCCACTCCCGCGATCTTTTCCATTTGCGCGACAAACCACAATATTCAGCTGCGCGCCTCTAAACCCAAGAAGAAAAACGACGGCTTAACCGTTCGAAACCGACGATCATCTGCTGGAGCTACTGGCTGCCAGGCCTGATTGTCATCAAACACTCAAATCGCCGGAGCAGGCCGCCATGCGATTTTTGGGCAAGCGGGCATCGGAAAAATAGTTCGCTGATGTCTTGCGGTCCGCTCGCAGAAATTTGGAATAATGTTAGCCAACTTTTAGACCAATGTATGGAAGGATCGCGGTTCTTCTATTGATTAATCACGGCACAGTGGCCGCATTCTTGCAGACTTTCCGCGAAATATGTGAAACTAGTGAGGACCGCACAGCCTGTAAATATCCACTAAAAAAGGTACCCTGAACTCGGGAAAGAAAGAGTGGGTATACATCCGCTAAGCGGCATGTACCCGTTTGGAGGGTATATGCCGCTTAGCGGATATCTATCAGAAAATTGAATTTGCTTGCAACTCGCTTTGGAACAAAGGGGAGCCGAAAATTCTGGAGAGCCGAGAGGAGCCCAATGATTAATTTGAATAAATTTTGTCCATCCTTGTCAGTGACATGATCAATTTATCATTTATCGCTGATACATCATAAAATCGAATTATCAATTGTCCCAAAAATTCCGTCCGTTTTGATTTCCAGCGCATTGAGTCATAAACTTCTTGATTTTAGATAGGTTTTAAGGTAACATTTAATAGAGCAAAGCGAGTTCTACCTCTACAAGAAGACGTTCTTGCTTTCGCACCAGTTCAAATCCGCCTCGAGTTTAACGCCAAAATCAAAAAGATCCAACTGACCGTAACTCCTTCCAAAGAATAATCCCGAAACCTAACTCATAAATACACTA